TGTTGGCTACCGCCACAGTATAATTGTAAATTTGGAAAAATATCATGAAAAAAACATCTTGAGCTAATTGAATGATGAGTATAATAAATTGAAGTTCAATTTAAAACATCGGACTGTTGGTGCTGATGACATGTAAAACGCATCGTTAATTACAAAGCTAAATGTCGCTTAAAGCAAATAGCTTTTCACCCCTCGATAATATAATGTATTAGACTTACTCTTTTGTTTCGTTATTTATTTACATTTTAAATAACTAACTATTTACAAAATAATTTTATTGATAGCATTAAAGTTAGTAAACATTACAGAAAATCGCATTGCAAACAGGAGAGTAAATAGCACTGAACTGTTTTGCCTTTGCTTGTTATGAATATTAATCGAATTCTAATTAAATTACACCAGAAGTGACAGACCAGTAATATATTTTATAAAAAATGTTGAACTTTCTACTTTCGATAAAAATAAAGATCAAAAGGTGGAAGGCTATTTGATATCTCTATATTGTTTCTGAGTTTTTTATTGACCTTCAACATTCGCGAAAATCCTGTATTTCATATTTAAATACCAATTGGCAACAAATAAACTTGATAAGAACACTGAGTATGGACGCTAATGTTGTGTTGTATTATATCTTTACTAAGTGGATTGATATTCAACATTCGCGAACACCCTGTATTTCATATCTAAATACCAATTGGTAAGGAGTAAGGAAGTTAATGTTATATTGTAACTTTATTCAGTGGATTGATCTTCAACGCTCGCGAACACCCTGTATTTCATATCTAAATACCAATTGGTAAGGAGTAAGGACGTTAATGTTATGTTGTATCTTTACTGAGTAGTTCAAGCTTGTTGCAGGTCTGTACGGAGAGCGCGCGGGCGCCCTGACCTTCCTGTGCGGCGACGAGGCGACGGCCGCCAAGGTGATGTCCCAGGTCAAGATCATGGTCCGCGTCATGTACTCCAACCCGCCGCTGTACGGCGCCCGCCTCGTGCAGGAGATACTCACCAACGCCGAACTCAAGAAGCAATGGTAAATAAATATAATAATGATATTATTTACATATTTAATTTTTTATTGCTTATTGCTTATATGGGTGGACGAGCTCACAGCCCACCTGGTGTTAAGTGGTTACTGGAGCCCATAGACATCAACAACGTAAATGCGCCACCCACCTTGAGATATAAGTTCTAAGGTCTCAGTATAGTTACAACGGCTGCCCCACCCTTCAAACCGAAACGCATTACTGTTTCACGGCAGAAATAGGCAGGGTGGTGGTACCTATCCGCGCGAACTCAGAAGAGGTCGTACCACCAGTAAAAAACGGTAAATGAACGGGTTCGTTTACAAAAATTATATTCAGTGTGCTTAGTGAGTTTTTTAACGTCCTCGATAGCGTAAAAGTATCTCGAATTTGTATTCAGTTGGAACAGCGCCCCTAGCGGCAAACGTAGGCAAACGTTCCAAATCCATACAAATTTGATTTAACTTTTACGCTATCGAGAACGTTAAAAAACTCGCACTAAGCGCGCATTTATTTATTTTTAGTAATTTACACGCGCAAGTATACGAGTACACAAGTATATCAGAGGAAGTGTGAAAGTAGACCTGGTAATCAACAAATTAAAGAGCGGACGGTTAGCGCAGTATGGACATGTGATGCGTAGAGAGAATATGCATGTGACTAGGAGATGTAAGGAAATGGTAGTGCAAGGTGGAGGGGGGAGAGGTCGACCGAAAAAGGCATGGATGGAGTGTTTGAATGATATGAGAGAGAGAGAGGAGTGAGTGTTGAAACGACGGCTGATAGAAGAGGAAAATTAATTGTGCCGACCCCACCTAGTGAGATAAGGTGGAGAAAAAAAAGTAATTTACACGGTAATCGGTCTACTTGCCTTTATGATTTAGATAAGATACAATAATAGTTTTGGAATTCTGGCTTAGTTTTAAGACTATCCTAAACGTCAAATGACGCTAACGGAATTCGTTTTCAATAAAAACTATAAAATAACAATTGTAAGAATACAGTGTTTCGAGTCCCAGAAGTTTATACTGTAAACTAGCGGCCCGTTCCGGCTCCGCTCTGGTCTTTAACAAAAATTTCAACGATATTTGACGTTGTTTTATTTTTTTCAATAAAAGAACACTTATTGCGGTATAACTATAATAGTTAGACATATGCTGTCGCGACACTTTTTGTAAATAATAATGTGTTCTTCAAAGTCGTCGTACATTATTTTATTCTATCATTAATAGTTTTCGCAGGGCACGCGATGTAAAGAATATTATAGCTATACTATACTATATATAAATAGCTTATGTCATTCGAGAATAGTGTAGCTTCCAAACAGTGAAATAATTTTTCAAATCGGTTCAGTAGTTTCGGAGCCTATTCAATACAAAACAAACAAACAAATCTTTCCTCTTTATAATATTAGTATTATACTGTAAATGAAAAGGAACCTCGCTAATAGTCCATTATCGCACAGCGCGTTTTTTGAGTAGGCCGCGAGAGATTGACGAGGCGTTAACGCGACGTCGCTGTGTTGCAGGCTCGGAGACGTGAAGCAGATGGCGGACCGGATCATCACGATGCGGAGCCAGCTCCGCGCCGGCATCGAGGGCGCCGGCAACCCGCACCCCTGGCAACACATCACCGACCAGATCGGCATGTTCTGCTTCACCGGACTCAAGCCCGAGCAGGTCAACTCTCGATGACAGATATTAATTATATCGCAGCGGTATTTTAGCGGTATTGTAGGCAGCGGCTTGGCTCTGCCATTGGCATTGCTGACGTCCACGGGCTACTGAAACCACTCACCATCAGGTGGGCCATATGTTCGTCTGTCTACAAGGATAATAAAAACAAAATTGTAGTAGAAAGAAACACAAAAAGTAATAGTTTAGGATATAAGACTCTGGAAGAGACTTCAACCTTATACAAGCTGGGTGCGATATTCACATTGTACTGTGATTCCCAGATACCGAATCACAATTTTGTTTGTTTGTAACGATTTTTTCCGAGCAACACACAAAAATCTACTCATTTTAAGAAAATCTTTGATAGGTATGTGTTTTAGGTTCCAAAAACTTTAGGATTGTGTCCGATACTCGAAATCCAAAAACAGTTTTTCTAATCACTTGATGAAATATCCATTGAGTGTTTGTTACCAGTGCACGTCAATATTAAAAACCGTGATTGTGCTGTTATATATTTTATAAGGAAAACATTTCAATGGTATATTCTGTTGTAAATTTCAAATTCCTGAAATATAAATTCAAATATACTTTATCGAAGAGTTATTATTATATTATCTACATATAAGTAAGAAAAACAAAAGAGTTAAGTATAGTTGTCTTCTGTGTCTGTAAAGCGATTTTTCTTTATCAAAAATAATGAGTTTTTCTTTCTTTGAATTGTCGCATTTCGCTCATTAGGCTAAAACTAGTTAGTTACCTACATCAAGACCTCTAAAACATTATTTTTAATTTACACAAATTATTCAAAGGAACGATCGCATAGACATTCGTAATACATTAAAATAAATTACGATTTCCATTGTCGAGTCGTGAACATGCGACGTTTGTCCTCCAGTATTGAGGTTGTAGTGACGCGCAGGTCACTTGTTCGCCGGTCCCCTAACTAGAAACTGGACACTTATCGGAATTTAGCCCACTGAGTTTCTCGCCGGATCTTCTCAGTGGGTCGCGTTTCCGATCCGGTGGTAGATTCTGCGAAGCACTGCTCTCGCTAGGGCCAGTGTTAGCAACACTTCGGTTTGAGCCCCGTGAGCTCTACACGTCAACGCTGAAATAGCCTCTCAAGGCTATCAGAATAGGTAGGGAAAAAAAATCGTAATATAAATTGTCATTTGAGTTGCCTCAAAGGATGAATCGAATACAGGCAAGTGAGGGATTTAGGCTTGATGTCGCCCTATACCCTGTTTATCGCGCCGCCCTTAATGTTAGAATAAATTTTATTTTTATTATTAATAATTTTGATACAATATTTTTATTTTAAATTTAAAATAATTTATTTTCAAAAGAGACTTTAAAGTCTTTACTTTAACTTTACTGAAACTTTTGGCATTTTAAAATTTTTCTCCCTCAAATCATGCCGTCCTAGACCCGGACCTCACTGGCCTAGTCGTAAATCCATCACTGAATACGAGCAAACGAGACTAATTTAATATTAATATCCGATTATAAAATTATTAAACACATACAGGATAAACACATACATACAGGACCTCTTGTTAGTCTACGCGGGTAGGTACCACCACCCTGCTTATTTCTGTCATGAAATAGTAATGCGTTTCGGTTTGAAGGGTGTGGCAGCCGTTGTAACTATACTGAGACCTTAGAACTCTTATGTCAAGGTGGGTGGCGCCATTTACGTTGTAGGTAACTTAACACCAGGTGGGCAGTGAGCTCGTCCACCCAACTAACCAATAAAAAATAAATAAATAAAAAGTTTTTTAGATGGAAATGCAAAAAATGTCTATTTAAAAAAATCGGGATCAAACGATTCGTTGTAGACGAATAATGCACATTAATGAAAACCAATTTTCAGGTCGAGCGTCTGACGAAAGAGTTCCACGTGTACCTGACGAAAGACGGACGCATTTCCGTCGCCGGCATCTCCTCGCAAAACGTGAACTACATCGCCGAGGCCATCCACAAGGTCACCTCGTAAACAAAATCCACGCACCGACGGACGTATCAATTTATAGTTTTATATTAATCGTTGTACCGTAAAGAACACAGTATTTATTTGAAACAATGACTTATTAAGAACCCAAACCTTTTAAAGGTTTCTGTTAACCTTTTTTATTCTATAGCTACGCAAGCACAAATCGTGATTCGGATAGCGTTGTTATGTAACAATAATTATTGTATCATTTTTAGTTCTAAAAATATAATATAAATCGTAATATTTTCAATTGTCTTTTTATTATTATTATTATTATTATTTTAAATCGATAACAAAACTTCAGAGTTTGTATGATTAATGGTTTTATTCGTTAAAATAAGTAGATAAAATAAAACTTGTCTGCCAAAAACACTGACATTGTATTAACACGTTTGTCTGTTGTGATTCTAATTAATTTATTTACTACGCAAAATATTTACAGCCGACAAAACAAATCAAAACGTCTTACTTGATACAAGAAAATGGACGCAGATGAACAGTTGCTTTACGAATTCAACAATTATACTATACAAAAGATTTACGACCACTGTAACGGGCACACGCCTGCCCGCACTTCTTGTGGTAACCAATTTTCCTAAACTAATTCACCTGCATCATTCATAATCGAAAAAAAAACCTAATAACATTTCACTAAACTAAATCAGTATTAGAAGACAACGAACACGTCCAAAAATGCAAGTCTCATACAATTCTATTATCATTATGATACAAAATCACTAATAAAAACTAATGCGACACCTGTCATATATATCGAAAAAATATTATTTACAAAATTTTGTCATAGTACGAACTATCCGACGTCCATGGCACAAATCCTTTAGAATGCAATAAACATTATTTAATTATTATATTTATTTATTTTTTAAAGCAAGAAATATGTACCATTTACACATTAACATTATAAATCTATACGCGGAGTATAACATCTAATATTGCTTAACATTTTATGCACACGGATAAAGATATTTAATTTATCTTACGATACAAAAGGTAAAACAATGTGTTTATCAACCACACTGGGCAGTTTTGTTACGGTAACAATTCGGACAAATTGTTACTACGAGTTATGAAGTAATAAATAAACGTAAGTATTTACAGCACCTTGTATAATGACATTACATCGCGTATGCTTGATGTAAGGGAACCAGTTCCAAAGCTGTAACGAGAACACTTTTAATATAAACGGAAAGACTATTAATATATTATATAAATTAAGCTTAAATCTCAACAGCATAAGGTCGGTTATTCATGATTTCAACATTTCAAGATTAACACATTCGAATTTTTTAAGGACTGTCTCTAAATAATTTCTCTAGAGATTACAGTTTAGAAATAAAGAGTTGAGAAGAAAAGAAGAAATGCAACCGCAAAAATGTTATTTATGGGAAAAAAATACAAGACTGAATTTCTTTTCATTTCGAGAAATCGTTTTCGTGAACCATTCTAAGGGTGCCTGTCCATCGGAGCGTAACGAGGCAGCGGAGCGGAGAAACGGAAAAATATTAACCAATAAGATTGCATACAATCATTTTGCAATCTTATGATTTTGATTTTGTGCAACCTTATTGGTTGGCGATTTGTAATTTCATCTAGAAGGACTCTTAGACACCGACTGAGCTCTCACTATAGTGGTTTTTTAGTAGGTAAAAAAATGAGGGCGCTAGAAAATAATTTATTCTCGAAGTGGGCAGTAGACAAAATAAGTTTGGGAGCCTCTGCCCTAAAGGGAAGGTAGGTAAGTGTCTACCGCGTATTGGATCACGCGTCAACCGAATTGAGTTTACTTGATGTAGAGAGCAAAATAGACTAATATAATTCATTTTTCAATAGATTTTTTGTTTTGCATTACAAATAACTCGTTCTTTGGGAATGGTTCTCTACATCGGATATGTTTACACTTTCTAGATTTCACGAAAATCGTTTTTCTAGTTAGCCTTTACGCTCGAATCAATATTTCCATGAATATGTCGGATGCAATAAGTTAATCTATTCAAAACAATATATTTATTTTCAGAAAAAGTACAGATTGGAGTCAATGGGAGCGTTAAAGGCTGATAGAAAATATATGTTTACAATGAGAGAATTGTTATTCTATAACTATGTTTCTATAATTACTGTGTCATTTCCGACGTTAAAGGCAAAACATGTACTTTTTAAAATGAATTGTGATTCTAATGTATTATTTAAATAATTATGCGACCATTTCCAAAATACTCTCTTTCAAAAAGGTTTTCTAAAAATTATAATTGCCGAGAATAAAAGAAAAACAAAATCCAAAAAGTAGCCTGACCTTGCTCTTGTGATTTCGAAAAATTCACAAATCAAATTACAATAAATTAGTTATATTTGTTGTTCAGTTATAAACATAATTATATCCAGTATGTAGGTCGAAGACTAATGCTCTGGGTCAAAACGTTACTAAAAACGACTTTCGTGAAGCGGTAATATGCGAAAAACAATCTTTAATACATCTAAGTTAATCGTACCACATAAATATTAGATAAATATTCAATTCTCTCTCGTGTTTCGTTTATACGTAATTAGGCCTTGTCATCTAACACCTAAATATCACTTAACTGCTTTATCACTTAAAGGATGGTCAAAATTTAGTAATACTTTTAATAGGTAAGTTCCAAAACATACATTCACAAAAAAATTCAAGGCAACATTGACACGTTCGAAATTAGTGTTGCCAATGGTAGAAATAAACTTGTGAAATACAATTTTGAATATATTTCTGATATGAAATTTGTAGTCCGATTTATTATTAATAAATAAGTAATAAACATTGCCCTTTTGGAAATTTCGGATAAAAGGATATTTAATTTTAACAATAAATGATTTTTCTTTTCTTTAAAGAATTTTCTTAGTGAAAAGTAAATTTACAACTTTAATGAATGAATTTAATTGGCTAAAACTGTTATGAGTGAATATACTTACGTACAATAAAAAATTCACATTACAAATAATAACAAGAATATGTAACATGTATTATAAACTTTAACACGAAGTATATTCCATTAGCAGATCTATTGCATAATAATATAAAACATAATGTGATAAATAAATAAATTCATAATTTTACAACAAAATCCTATTCTAGTTTGTGCGTTACAGGTATATCTTAGAATTAAAAATATTAAAACCAGACAATAATAAAATCCCCGAATTAAACAATGTAATTGCAAATGGTGGTTTACGTTTATATTTTTTAGAGCATGTAACCTTTCTGTTGACTTTTCTATATTGTTATTCCAAATTAATTAACTCAGGTTTTCTGTTTTAAAAATATAGCTAAGTATTAAAACCGATGAATCAGTATTTTTACATATTCGCTCAGCTTTAAATTTAATGAATCAAAAGTATTGAGAAGTTTAAATTATTTTAAAAGCAAAACTGTTCTAAATATAAACAGTAACGAACATTTAGCGGGTACATAACTAATCCAAAAATTCAGTGTTGAATCTGGTTACAAATAAAGAATAAAAATGCACGTTCTTGTCATGCCTACGTGAATACACAATGACATGTTGCATTAATTCACACTATACATACATTTCCAATATTTTACATTATTTTATCTCTTCCGAACACTTTAAATATTGCTTTCTTAAATATCGGATGATGCTTGCAAGCGCAAGCAAATTGTCTCTTTCCTCTTGTTATATCCAAAATTATTCATTAATTTATTAACAATAACATTTTAACCTTTTTTTTAAAGGAAGATCCGCGTCATGTTTTTATCACACTGATTTGGTACACTACTTTAATTTAGCCTCTTTTTCGTGCAGGCAGATAAACACAACTCTGTTTAGAATTAACGACGCGAAAGTAAATCATAAGGCATGTTCGGGTCACTTTAGCCGTTCAATCACTTCACATTTTATGTCCGATATTTACTCACTAAATTATTTAAAAACAAGAATGGTAAAAATATTATATTTCACCTATGTACGTTTAAAACTAAATTATTGCTTATTTGTTTAAAGGCAAACTTTCACTTACAGTTTGTGAATCAGTCGAGTTGGCGGAGTCCTCGCCGAGCAGCCGGCTGAGTTGGTCGTCCAGCGTGTCGGCGCGGCGCAGCTCCCGCGACTTGGCGTCGTCGCTCGCGAACACGTCGTCCCCCACCAACATGGTCTCGTCTAAATACGAAAACGAGTCCAAGTTTATGTCCGTCGTTGTGATCGCCGTGCTGTAGATGTCTATCCGTTTTTGTTGAGATTTCGCTTCGGCGACCTTCTCGCTGAGCTTCGCTTTGGCTTTTGACAGAGCGTCGCATTCCGTTCTATCGATCTTCGGATCGTCTTTTAATTTATCGATTTTAGCTTTGAGCGCGAACGAGGAGTCGTTACTAGACGACCCGTCGTCTTGTAGCTGACTGAGCAGCGTGCGAGTCGCGAGAGACATGGCACTCGCGCTCGTGTATAACGCACTATTTTCCCCTAAAAAAAAAATTAAAAAAATAAGTTGCAAGCTGTTAGTTTCAACAATGTGTATCATTTAATGTGATGTCTTACCAGTAGGCGTAGCTCGCGAATTATCTTCTTGTACCAATCGTTTACTCTTGGTCTTGTGACCGGTTGACATGTACTCATTATCACTGTCGCTGGACATACCCAAATCTAGGTGTAGTGAATTTAGTTTATCGTCATCATCTTTATCTTTTCTCGAAACTGTATCCAATTCGATCTCCCAATCGGTGGCACTCGAAGAGTCTTTAGCTGCATCAGGGTCTTTGTTGTGCACTTTGTCGATTACTGACAAAATTGGTTCTTCCATAGGATTAATACTGCTTATACTTTCTGCGGTAGAATCTAAGCTGCTAGCATTGCAAGTCTCTTCTGTCATTCGATTGTCGAACAATACCGGTGTATCTTGGGTTATGCTAGACGATTGCTTATTTTCTTCTGTATTTCTGCCGACCGTACGGCTGTCCAATATCTCGGACATCGTCGTGGTTCTACCGGACTGGTCGTTATTTAACTCCAGAACGATAACGTTACCCGACGATTTGCTTCCATCTGACTGTTCTACCTTTGAAGCTTGTAACAGTTGATTCACATTTTTTCCCATTATTATTTTAGATACATCACCTCCGTTTTTCGCCAATGCCAATGCTTTGCTCAACGTTGTGCCTTTTTGTACCACAATCACGCTCCCTTTAGTACTTGACGGCCTGACTATAGGATTTGTGATTTTCGTGGTTGTGATAGGCGCTAAGCCTTTAACAGGTACTATATCAGCCAAGTTTGCTGTTTTGATGGGTTCCACGCTAACTATCTTAGGGCTATTTGGAATTGTGCTACTCGCTACTGATTGCGATGTGGCAGTCATCACTGCCGATTTACTAATCGGTAAAGTTGATTGAGAGCTTTCAGAAACAATTTTCATTCCAGAGTTTTTGAATTTAATTAATGGTATTCTTATATCTGCTCCCGATTTCGTTCGCGCTTTGGCCATGACCATCTTTTGTCCAGATTTGGGATTTAAAAGGACAGCTTTGGCGGAAACCTTTAAGTCCGTAGCCGGGATGCCTTTGGGTGTCAATACATCTGTCATTTTCGATATGCTATTGATTGCTATCGTCCCACTCTCTTTATTAACACCAATATTCGATGCCATCACTACTTTTGACATAGGAGTTCTCATTTCAGACGGGGATTTCGAAACAATAATCATTTTATCATTTGTCACTGGAGTATTAATAGTTCGCGTTTTTGGTATAGATCCGATCACTTTAGTGGTAATGAGTTTACCGGGAGTATTCAATAGTTTTTGAGTTGAACTAGAAGCTACGACTAACTGTTTGCTGGATAATATTTTTAAGCTGTCCGATGACTTTTGTAACAATTTTGCTTCAGTCGGGTTAGTATTTTTATCGGTTGATATGTCACCGCGATTTTTTATGATAAATTGACATGGCTTGCCAGTTAACGTTGGTTTTAGGGCAGTACTTTGGGCTTGTAACGAGGACGGATCTTCAGGATGTGTATCACCGGATACTTGTAGTTCATTTAGGGCCGTCGCGGGTTGCGTTAGGAGTTGCATTGTCGGCGAGTCCGACATAGTGCTAGGTGAGGTCAAAACTTTCTGTTTCACATCCTCTTTCTTCTTAGAGCCTAATGAACCTAATATAGACTGAGCATAACTAGCTTGGAAAGTATTGGGTGGTCTTGAATATTCGATTTGCATGTTAGGATTATATAGTTTACTGGGAGAAGGAGGTGTTTCAGTGGTTTTCTTTTGCATTTTATGAGCACTTGGCATTCTGGTTTTAGTTGTTCGGGGTTTGTGGGGCGTTGACCTCGGTGTGTGCGAGTGACTTGGTTTACTTGATGATATTTTACTAACTTGGTTATACGAATGTTTAGACTGTCCTGGAGGTTTACCTGTGAGGAGAAAAAATAATATTTTAAAACACACATGTCGACTTGTATTTTCTTTTGTTTTAATAAAAGTTTGAGTAGCAGTTTAACCAAAAAATAACATTAATCTGTTTAGACGTAAGGAGTGTACTATTTTTGTACTCTAATAACGTCATGGTTTAAGTGCGCAACGATATTTTTGCTTCCAGTTTACTAATAAATTAAACTAATTATTACATACATACATGTGACATGATGTGCATTCATCAGTGCTCGGGGCAGAATGGTTAGTAATAATTTAAAATGTCATTATTATTTTGCGTGGATATTAACAACATTTCATCTTTTGACATTAATCATATTTTTTATGTAAATAGAAACAAAATTAAAAATGTAATCACACATTTTTATTTTTTGTTTAAAATGTATTTACTTTTTAATTCCACTTTGAAAAATATGTGTCATTCTAAATAAACGTAAATGCTTTATGAGGTCATAGATGTTATTGTCAGAGAGTTGAACAGGGAATAAGCCTTTGCTTTTTTGTGAAGTTAAAAAAAGAATCTGACATTAGTATACTGTCATTGTTCTCTCCTGTCATTGGATTTCTTCATGTCTACAATGTCACTAAAGTGTTCCTGAACAGGGTTATTTTATAAATTAAATTGTCAGTTACCTATGCAGAACTATTGCACAACACAAAATATAGAGATTCCAGTGGTCATTATTTTTTTTTTTCCTCTTTTTGTTGGGAATCTGTAATGTTTACTTACAAACAGGCATCATATATATAAACATAATATGTAATCTTATCACACGAATATTATATTCATTTTAGGTATTATGAATATTGAATTGTTGACAATTGAATTGCTGCAGATTGCTAAGCATTAAGTTTAATAATTATTATTAAAACTTTTAGAATTTTACCTCTTATGTGTTCAACAGGTGCAGGTTGTGACAACTTAGAATATATTTGTGATAAATTGAGATGTTTCTGGTTTGCGTTGATGTTTATATTCCTCATACTCTTCATTGGTGTTAACCCTTCAGCTGGTATGGCACCACTTTCAGGGACTTTTCTCTTCCTTTGATTTAATAATTCTGTTTCCCATAGCTAGAATGAGTGAATTTTAATACAAATAAATAAAGCATCATTAGGAAAATTAAAGCAAATACTTATTTCGGCTGCAAAGCAGTAAGGGCTTCCTGTTTGACAGTTGGAACAACCCTTATTTAATACAATTGCAACTTCGATCTCATGTTTTAATCAGTATGGCATCATTTAAGTAGTGGTTTCTATGAATATGGGCTCAGTTAATCATTTAACACCAGGTGGACTATCAATCTAGAAGAATAGGTTTTTTCCAAATCTCTGAAATTACTTTAGCTGTCTGGTCTTCCATGGCAACCGGAGGGTAGTTGCTCTCATCCATTCCTTCATTTGACGAAAGTCCACTCTCTGCAGTTTGTCCTTCCACACTTTTAATTTCTTCTTCATTTGTTTTAGGGGCAACAAGCTTTCGAGCCTGAAGCCTCTTTTGAATTTCAGCATTTTCAGCAGCGGCTGCCTCGGCTGCTTTGTCTGCTATTTCAGTGTACATTGTTTGGGCAATGCCACGTGGTAATAAAGGCACTTTTCTTCTGCCCTCGCATATCCATCCCAAGCCTGTGTTTGGACCTGATAATCTACATTAAAAAATATATGCCATTAAGTACAACTATGCTAAAAAGTCACTTATAATTATTTGTAAAATTATGAATATAGGAATATATATAAATTTAACTGCAGAGTAAGAAGAGTGTATGATGTTAATATAATTAAAACTGTTACTGAAGTCTATATGCACCACAATGTGGATTCCGCTTCACATTGTGATAAAAGGTTGAAGTTTGAATTACATTAAAATAAAATTGCTTATAAACAGAAGTAGGTTAGATGCTGGTGGTAGCGATGGACTTACAACACACCCTCAAGATAAAACAAGAATTATGGGCCGGAATAAAAGAAGCAATGTCTGAAAATAAAATAAATAAACTACTTTTGCTGATGATCAGAAGAGTAGAGCTACTCCATCCACCACGGACTGATGTTCTCGTAATGCTTCAACTAGTAAAAATGGCTTTTTATTTTAAATATTGATTACTTACTCCTATCATCAGTGAAATGATTTTTGATACAAATAAAATAATAAAACTGCTTAGGATGGATATTGAACTAAAATACAAATTTAAATATTGTATGTGGTATATGACTGGAGAAAATTATCACCAAATTTTACCAACCTATCTTAGGTTAAATGTCATGTTTAATTTTTTAATTGATATAGTGATGGTCATAATGCTAAAATTTTTAGAAGCAAGAAGCATGGGGCATGTAATGAGACAAATCATATTTAAAGAAATAGGCTTTAAGAGCTTTTAGCTCTAAGTATTTGTGCATCACATAATTTTTTACATATTATTGAAAGAAGTTTTTTCAGGTGAAAATGTGAGCCTGATTTGTCAATTTGGCTTTAGTTAAAACCACTATGAGACATTGTTTTCTTTGTAAACAATTATGATTTTAATAATCATGTGTGTAAGTAAGTACAATACATATTTATGTTTTATATTAAATTCAATAATAATAAAACTAAGCATTTAGGCAATCAGTGTTTTAGTACAACTTAAAAATTGACCTTTTAAAGGTGTTATTTTATATATTATTATTTTATATTTCTTGAAAATTAGCCATTATCCAATAAACTATTTATACTATAGTCTTAGACTGCACAATATTTTTGCAAATTAATAATTAAGAAAGGTTTGAAAATTAATTAAATTATGTGCTGGTATGCATTTGATGTTACTATATTGTTTTTAAACCTGAAAATGTTTGTTTTAAAATGTACAACTCAGATCAATTGCATACAGCTAGAAATTTGTATGAACAATATGAACAAAACAAGTTTTAAAATCAATTTGCAATATTGAAAATGAAAAATAAATATACCTTTCAGCAATTGTAGCCAGTAATTCGTCGTTAGACACGCGGCGTGCCTCGGCACTGTGCCTATCGTGGCTTATGTGTAACACGGCGCGTAATTCTTCCAATAGTTTTTTTCTGTTGTCTTCTAAAGGCCCTTGTGCTCTAAACACACTGATCATATTCGAGTAGGCTTCCAATTCTACAAACAAAGCATACACAATTTAATAGAACTAAAATACACAAAGTTCCAACGGCTAAATTAGCTTGAATGGTTGAGTTATAATTTAAGAAAACCATAGGAGGGAAAATGAAAGCCATTTGTGAGACTAAATATATACCGAGTCTCCGAAGCGTGAGACGACACTCGTCGCGTGTCAAATTCAGAAGCATGGGCCACATTTTCAAATGTTTTAATTTCACATTAAAAATATAGTCTAATTATTTGATTTTAACCATATTTAAATTACTCTATTGGCAAATATCCATACTGTTTACTTCAAACGACAATTCGTTCATTTTGACACTTCAAATGAAGAAAAAGGTAGCACAACCAGAGTCTATGGAAAATAAGGAACGCTAATTTTAATTTTAATTTCCAAGTATTTTAACTTGAACTCAACAATTCCATATTACTTGTTTTATTTATTTAAATAAATGTACTTTTTTTGAAATAAATAAAAAACTATTTTAATCTATTTTTTATGAAGCAGATACATTTTCTCGGATCGGTAGGTTAGCTACTATTAAAATTTCAATGTAATAATGATTTGATCTGCTTATCTTGAGGTGAACGGAATTGACCTTGTAGTGTCTATGGACCTCAGTAACTACTTAACATTAAGTGAGTGGGGACTTATTTATATATGTATCTTCATATATTCTCTAACTTTCCTAATCTCTCCCTTGCGAATCCGTTCAAAAAAAAAAAAAAAATTTTATTTTTTATTACGTAGTTCCCAAGCTTTTATTTTGCTTTGTGGCAAATGCGCAAGCCGCGCGAGCCAAAATTAAACAGAAGAAGAAGAAGTGAGTGGGGACCATATCAGAGTAAATTAAATAAATGATAATTTTTATCGTACGCAAAGGCTGGCTACAGACTCGTTGATATTTGTTAATCCCTTGCTCAGCTATTGATTTTAGAAAGGAATCAAAACTCTGTAAATTATGTAGGTATATTGATATCTACAATAGGTCATATAATATTGAATATGAATTAAGTATTTTGATAAAACCGGCATTATCAAGCACTATTCCAAAAAGTTTTACTGTCATTTCATGCAATTTTCAGTTTCTTGTAACATTTTTCGAGCTTTATAGACCAGAGACGAGAAATATTTTTTTTAGCCTAAGGGAAAAATGTTAAGCAGGTCTTTTTGGTGTTCAACTTTAATCTATTTTTTTCTTTCAAATTCGAGACGAATTAAAATAATGTTTTTAATTTATATTTCTATTTTTACATTATATGTAATTGATGTTCTGTATCGCCAATTGAGTTAAAATTGATTGATTTATCAGATGGATTTAAATTTGTACGGCTGTCAAATTGGTCTCAAAAGTTAATGTCATTTTGAGTTACTTTTATTAAGTGGTTACGTTATGACATTTACTGTGTAACAATTCATGTTTCAATGCTTACACAACATTCAAATAAACAAAATCGATATATCAGCTAAAAAAATATTTCTTGCAATTATTACGCTATACCAACTCTATACCGCACAGTCTCCTTCGAGGCGGCGTGCTTGCTCGCCGGGGCGCCACCCTGGGACCTGGAGGTGGAGGCGCTCGCTGCCGATTACAGGTGGCGTAGCGACCTCCGCTCTAGGGGGGAAGGGCGCCCCGGTGAAGGAGTAGTTCGAGCGCGGAGGCTCCAATCTCGGCGGTCCGTGCTGGAGGCGTGGTCTCGCCGCTTGGCGGACCCGTCGGCCGGCCTCCGTACCGTCGAGGCGGTCCGTCCGGTTCTCGCGGACTGGGTGGGCCGCGACCGCGGATGCCTCACCTTCCGGCTGACGCAGATGTTGACCGGCCATGGGTGTTTTTGCCGGTACCTCTTCAAGATAGCCGGAAGGGAACCGACGGCGCAGTGCCACCACTGCGCGGACCGCGACGAGGAAGACACAGCGGAACACACATTGGCGCGTTGCTCTGGACTCGACGAGCAACGCGCCGCCCTCGTCGCGGTCATAGGAGAGGACCTCTCGCTGGAGCGAGAGAGGGAGAGCTCTTCCCTTTCCGCACCGATCCGTCGCCGTCGAGCCGGGGCCGGAGGCGGGAATACGCCCGTACGTCCCGGCCCCTGTAGGTAGCGGCCTCCCCCCGGTGAAGGTCAAGAGGCGACCTGAGGGGGTGAGGCCGCGCGGCGCGCTACTAGCACTCTAGCGCGCTGCCGTGGAGTGAATAGAGCGACCGGTCGACGGTGTATCGCTTCCCGACCCGGCAGGCTGGTTCTGGCCAGCGGGGTATTCCGGGACACCAGCGGCACCGTCTGGGCGGCCCGACGGGCTGCCGTACCCAGACGGCCGACGTTTCAGAGCCTTCGATTCGCCTCGAAGGCTCCGTCGGCCGGGCGTCCTTGGGGTGAGCCGCGCCGTCTGGTTGTAGTGTTGACCGCGGTAGCCCCCCTACCTCATCCGGGTTCTGACCTCGGAGGGGATCGGACGTCGGGTGTAAGAGTGCAGGGGAGTCGTTTAGTGGGTGGGTCCTAAAATCCTTGGGCCCGCGGTCTGCTCACAACACCATGCAGATCGTTGAGTCTCACATACCCCGCGCGCCCCTTTTGCGCGGGGACCTCGTAGGAGGTTCGGCCCTCTACCCGAAAAAAAAAAAAAAAAGGTGGTAAGATAACTCTAGTTATTTCATATTTTATATATGTATACTTTACATTAAATAGATGTTCTTATTACTACCAAAACCTGAAAAAAAATATTCAAAGTTTTCTCATTTAAATCTCGTCTTGTCAAAATAGTATTATATCTTTTTACAGCATACGACATCACATGATTGTATATGGCCACTGTTACTTATAGAGAGTAATGCCAAGAGCGCAACTGACATAATAGAATAAACTTGTTTTTGTGCAGCTTGAACCTACGCATTCATGGTGAGTAAAGTTCCAGCTCTAGCACGCTGGAGCTAGTCACAGCTAAGAGGGGTAAAATCTGTACAGAATCAAGATCTAGAGTATTGGTAAATAATTTGGATAGTCAGCAGGCAGTCCCAGAGCTGTGTCTGACTTCGACGAAGTATCATCACATTTCGAACCAGATTTTGGAGTTTTTTTTTTTATTGCTTACATGTGTGGACGAGCTCACAACCCACCTGGTGTTAAGTGGTTACTGGAGCCCATAGACATCTACAACGTAAATGCGCCACCCACCTTGAGATATAAGTTATAAGGTCTCAGTATAGTTACAACGGCTACCCCACCCTTCAAACCGAAACGCATTACTGCTTCACGGCAGAAATAGGCAGGGCGGTGGTACCTACCCTACTAGTGATTACGCAAATTATAATTTTGCGGGTTTGATTTTTTATTACACGATGTTATTCCTTCACCGTGGAAGTCAATCGTGAACATTTGATAAGTACGTATTTCATTTAAAAAATTGGTACCTACCTGCGGGATTCGAACACCGGTGCATCGCAACAACGAATGCACCGGACGTCTTATCCTTTAGGCCACGACGACTTGAACACGACAAGTTATATAAGCTGTAAGCTACCTATGGATTTAACTTTGTAGCGGCGACATGACAAGTGAAATTTTGTTAATTGTTTGTTTTCTGAATTTAGTCCTTTACAAGTTTTTCTACGTTTTTTCACAGTGGTTTATTAATTATATATTTACATAGTGTAGAATATGTATAAAATACATGGTTTCGATTTTACAGCATAATTAGATATATGAACTCAAAACCTATTGCCTATTCGATTGGACGTAGCCATCAAACGATGAAGTTTGTGGGCTCTTGATTATTTATTACTGATGAGTGTATAATCTATGATTCTCAATAACGGATTTTATTTGAATATTTGTGATTGTTTTGAAATCGTGAATGTAGAAGGTTTTTGCCTTTAGTTTTATGTGAACTCGAAATATAAATCATGTGTGACATAGGGGAAATAATTGACTATATTAAGTCATTGAAGAGAGGTTTTGACAAAGATTTATTTCAAAGTAAAATTGACGAATTAGGTTACATTGTTGACTCTGTGGGTTTGGATTATGATGATTTTCACACACTATTTAAAATTTGGCTTAACTTATCTATACGTAAGTTTTTTCTGTGTTTTCCACCGTTTATCATTAACAAGAAAACGCGAGTTTAAATATAAAAAATAATTGTTTTCTTTACTACTTCGGATTTTGATTTAAACTTATGTACGTGTAGTGGTGATCAAACACATGAACATGAGTGTAATTCAGCACTGTGTTATGATAAATCTTTCATGTTTTAACTTAACTTTAATAAAAAATCCATTTCAATTTATTCTTTGTTTTTCTTCCCCTAGGGAAAAAGGGGAACAGGGGTCGGACAAGGTTCTTCTGTCATATCAATGAATTAACTTCTGATTTATTAAAAATAACATATTCTGCCACTGTTTTTCCTAACCACCCAGTTTGCTTACCAACTTTTGAATGAAACAGTCTTTGTGGATTTTTTTAGAACAGTTACTGTCCCTGTTACCATCTTTACCATAAAAAATATTAAAATATGGTAATTATAAACATACATGACCAAAGATTATGCTGGTAATTTAATGTTAAAGTACTTTGAGTATAAAGTTAAGTTTAAAGTTAATGTACATCGTTTGAAAAGATCAATGCTGCACATAATTTCATTTGAATTGAATACTAAAAAAGGAAGTGAATCTTATAGAAATATTAATCTTCAGGAAAATTAGGTTTGAATCATTTGTCACGGTTAAGCAATTGACAATAACTATAAATTACTACTTCAATACTAAAGTGAAATCAAAGAGACTGGTAAGCATTATAGGACATTTCATGTGAGCATTTATAGGGAAGAAATTCAGTTTCCAATGGAAGTCAAGCAATCTCTCTTGTTTAAATATTGTTTCTGAATGCATCCTTACAAAATAAATAATATATTTTTTAAGGAAATTAATTTAGTGTGTCTATTAGTTCTTTACATACTGCTTTATTTCTAATACTGTTTAGAAAACATGTGTAATAATTTTTATAAATAAATTTATAACTGTAATTCGAAGTAAAAATATTTAGTAAAATGCAACTAACTTGATTGCAGCTTTAACAAAATGGACAAGTCTTGGGGCATGCTTGATACCTCCAGATGCAGTGGAGGAAAAGACAGTGGATTATGCTATTCAGTGGATACTCATAAATTATGGAAATCAAAATTCATTTACCAAGACTGGATTTCTCCTTGACTGGCTCACAGGTAGTTCATTGCTATCATAATATTAAATATTTTAAACTACAATTTTACCAAATTGTTTTTCTTTAGTAAGGTTATTTAAATATTTTTATAATAATGTATATGAGTATAGTAAAACAGTAAATTTTATTACAATTACATTTTCAGGTTTTTTTTAATACTGCAAATATATACATTAAATTATACTCATTGAAATATAAAAATAAATACCTCTTTTGTGAAATTGTGACACACTGTTATCTTATTATCATAATTATAGAAGCAAGTTAGGATTTAAGATTAATTAAATTTCACTTGGATAGGGTTTTTTGATTGTGAAAGCTGTTCATGACTTACTGGTTTTTAACAATTTGTTCTGATATCAGCTGCTATGGAATGTGACTGCATCGATATGAAGGCCTTAGATTTTGGATATGAGCTTTTCTACTCCATGATGACCTATGAAACTCTGGTAAATATGTCTTCACAAATATAAGCTATATTTATAAATAAGTAGATTATGGAATAATAGATTTGCTATATTAAGCTTAGTATTTACTAAATAATCCTGAATCCTGAATTTTCTATTCTATTCTATCAGTCTGTAAGCACAGACGTCTACTGCTGAACATAGGCCTACAAATCCTGATTAACATTCGTTTTTTTAAATATTGGATATTTCAAAAATGATAATGACTAAATTAGGTGTGTTCCAATGAGACCCTTATCTCATATCATCTCTAATATTACATGAACAAGAATGAAAAAGTAAGGGTAAAGTTTTGGTCAAGTTACATATTTTGAGTAATTTTTTTTCACCCACATATTTTAGTGACCTTGAGGGGTCATACAATATTCCTTAACACATCTTTACTAAAGGTACTAAATGATGCATTTTTTTATAGACTCCTCAAGCTGTTAAATTAGTGTATACATTGACAAAGCCATCAGATGTGACGAGAAGAAGAGTTATAGAAATTCTTGATTGTGCTAAGAAGAGGGAAAGTAAAAAGGTATTACATTAAAAAAAATATTTGCATTAATATATTGTCAAGTTAACTTACAAATCACAATAACCAATTTTAAAGTTGTGGTATATTTAATTAAGAGAGTGTTAGGTGGCAACACCCAACCTTAATATGTGGATGACAGCATCAAAACACTTCTTCGAAAAAGTAGCGCCACACGATTATCATCTTAAAGGTGGCCACCTTTAATTACATATCTGAGCCAGGTGATGTTCACCCATCTCTTTATTGCCTGGGTAGGTAGACGGCCCACTTGATGGTGAGTGGTTACCGTCGCTCATGGACGTCAGCAATGCCAGGGGCAGAACCAAGCCACTGCCTACTGTTAAACCATAATGTTACATAATATGTTTTTATAAAATAAGAACATTTTAAAGAATATTTCAATCTCTCTTGTTACATTTTGCTCTGATTTCTTTACAGAACTTGTTCCGTCAACTGCAAATTCTGCTTGGTTTGTTCAAATCTTACAAGCCTGAGTGTGTCCCGGAAAATGTACCGGCCATCTGTGTACATACAGCATTTAAGAAAATAAACAAAGATTTACTTGGCAGGTTTAAAAGAACTCAGGTTAGTGATTTTTTATTATAAGAAACCGTATTTAATACTGAAGAAAAGTTACTTTTAATTCCACCATAGATAATGAAAAAATTAATGATTTCACGGAACCATGTTATTGTTGTCAGTTTATTGTCAGGCACCCAGTCAAACCTTCCTCCCTTCAATATTCTTTGCGCAAAATGATTTCGTTTTTTACTCGTCTGCACCCAACTAGATTGTGTTATTGCTCTACTTGTCAAGAGATGGCTCTCACTGTCAGTCGAGGTGCGCTTGTATATTAATTGTAATTGTTGTATTTACATCTATGTTAACGTTCTCGATTGCGTAAAAGTTAACTCAAATTTGTATGGAATTGGAACAGCGCCTCTAGCGACAAACGTAGGATTACGCGATCGAGAAGTCCTAGAAAATCTTTTGAAACAAACTTAGTGTTAATTCGTATGAGAAAACAAAAATTAATGTTATAAAATATCATTACTAGAGAATAAATTCTCTTCTATTGAACTTATTCACTCTAAAAGGCTGCTAAGTTATTAGAGTTGTTTGTGATACTTAAAGCATTACATGTACATACATGTACAAAAAATACATAAGAAAGATTTCTGTAATTTTAAAAACCGATTCTCTTCAATTGTGGTAAGTGAATAAGCCGCTCCATGAACTCTTACATTAAATAGTAAATAATATACTATGCTAGACTATGCCAGAGTTCAAAACAGAACGACGTTATCTGAATTGAAGTAATGAATGAAATTCTCAAAAACTGTTTTATGGCAGGGTATGTTTGATTTTTATTACGCCATGTTATACTTTTATAGTTAAAGGTATGAACACGTCATGTCCAACGGCTACAGTAACCATTTAACATCAGGTGGGTCAAAAAAAATGTCCCGGTCTGCCCATCTAGATCATACTAAAATTATATAGGAACATATTATTACGTTGGTTATATTTTATCTTATTATTTTCATAGGAGCGGAGAAACCGACAAAGTAAAGAAAAACAACACTTGATATGGCTAAATCCAATTAACATGGTTAGTAGTTTTTTTCTTCTTAAATACACAAATATACATCTCGCTGTCAATTACTTTAGACTTATAATTTGATTAAATTCTAGGCTAGAGGTCGCAATAAAAAAGTAGTACCACTGGTACCAAACATGGAGTTCTTCAACATTGGATCTAAACAGTATGATCAAAAAGAACCGCAGAAGAATTACTTGGATTTTTCAGAGTAAGTAATTTAAAATTAATTACTTTAATTTTCATTAATTGTGTACCAATAAATTTAAATTATGTTTTTTAATATAACATAAACTTATTCTATTATAAAAGTTTAGTATGTTAAATAAGAATTAAATATTAATACAGGAGATAGGTTGTTTCTTTTATGCATTGAAAAAAAATTGTAGCACAAATGATACTCAGACCACAGTTACAGGGGTATTACTATGCACTAGTAATTTAGATATGGTACTATTTAAACTAATTTAGGGGTGGGTCAGTTTTCATTATTGTGTTTTTTTATTTGGGCCGACCTCCAATTATAGTAAATCTGAGTATCGCCGCGCCTCTTTTTATCGGTAATGTTTGCTGAATATTGGTTTACGTCTATTTAAGAAAATCACAGTACGTTTCCAGAGATCTTTCTGGCCACGTACCATCCGGTTTTGGAATTAGCTATGACATGTACTTCTTCAAACGAGGCTTATGCTCGTCTGCCTACAAGGGCAACAAAAAAAGTATTTATTACTATATAAGAAGGTATTTATTACTGGTGGTAGGACCACTTGTGAGTCCGCACGGGTAGGTACTACCACCCAGCTTATTTATTCCGTGAAGCAGTAATGCGTTTCGGCTCGAAGGGTGGGGCAGCAGTTGTAATTGTACTGAGACCTTCGAACTCATATCTCAAGGTGAGTGGCGGCTTTTACTTTGTAGACGTCTATTAGCTTCAGTGACCACTTAAAACCAGGTGGGCTGTGAGCTCGTCAGATCATCTAGGGAATAAAAAAAATCTAACGTAAGTCGGTGAAGTGGTCTAAAAGACATAATATGTATGGACTAACTTTAGCCCGCCACTCCTTCCGCGTGGAATAGTTACTTTGGCATAACGCTAAATTTTACCTCCACTTCATTAACGTAGAAAGTGAAAATATTTTTGAATTATAGAATGTGAAGGAGCTATTTAAACTCATATTTTGAAATATTCTTTGAATTATAGAATGTTAAGGAGCTATTTAAACTCATATTTTGAAATATTCTTTTTTGATGCTCCACTTGTATTGGTCTTAGAGTGATGTTATATAGCCTATAGCCTTCCTCAATAAATGGGCTATTTAACACTGAAAGAATTTTTCAAATCGGATTAGTAGTTCCTGATTAGAATTAGCGCGCTCAAACAAACAAACTCTTCAGCTTTATAATCTTATTTATATCTTTAAACGAGAAATTCTTGTATATTAATATATATGTATATAATCTGAATCTCGGAAACGGCTCCAACGATTTTCATAAAATTTAGTATACAGGGGATTTCGGGGCCGTACAATCGATCTAGCTACTATTTATTTTCAGAAAATCTTGTTTTATTCGTGTTTTCAACTCTTTCCGACATCTATTGGCGAATAATAATACTATTTTTTTAAAATGGCGTTATCAAAACGGTCATCATCTAGTGTTAGTATAGATGTGTGTCTTGTTGCCGTTTCCCAGCCCGGCGTCGGTGGTGCAGCTGGCGGCTTGCGGGCGGGCGGCGCGGCCGGCGCGGCTGCGTGCGCTGCTGTGCGGGCCGGCGCTGCTGCTGGCCGCCGCCGCCGCCGACCAGCACGCCTTCCTCTCGCACGACCTGCGGCATCTGCTCGACAACTGTGACTATTTTAACTACATTTTTTAACTTGCGGTTGTCATTAATAGCTGCCCCGTCGTCCATGCCGGTCACCGTCTTCGCCGAACCCATCGCTTGCGATAAAGGGCTCGACAAGTAAATTAACCCATAGACACAGCCCACTGAGTTTCAGTGAGTCGCCTTTCCGATCCGGTGGTAGATTCAGCGAAGCACTGCTCTTGCTAGGGCCAGTGTTAGCAACACTCTCGGGTTGAGCCCCGTGAGCTCACCTACACGCTGAAATAGCCTCTCAAGGCTATCAGCATAGGTAGGAAAAAAGATGTGTGGTGTCGTGGGACACCAGATAGGAACGAAGTTCCTTATTATAAAAATATTATTATTTAAGTTCTATTCGAGGTATAAAGAAAATAATTATTCGGGTATAAATATTTTTTTTATAAAAAATAATAAAAAGCTACTTTACAAAGCTATCAACTTTATTTTATTCACAATGATTTATAAAGAATATATTATGATAATATACAAAGAAACAGCTATTTATATGAATAATAATAATAACCGTCATCACATAGACTATACATTAGACACTGTATAGCCATCATACTAAGACTATACATAAATAATAAAAATCTTACGTTACGGACGTGTTTTCCCGGTTAGGATACCCTTCCGCATTATCCCATAAGGAACTTCGTTGCAAAATAATCTCGAATTTCTCGTCTTCCCTGAATATACATAAATATATAAAGAAAAACCTTTATTATTTAAAACTCTTTAGTTTTTAAAAAGGATTTTTCTTCTGTGTCATTCAGTATCACGGAGTGAAATCTGTCATTCAGTGAAAAGAGAGCTCAGTTTTGTATAGTTTATTAATACTGTTTACTGGTTCATTTTTAATATAAATTTTAAAAGAGATTTAAGGGTTTTAAATGTTGTTTTCTTATTATATCACAGAAAATACAAGTCTTTTATTGTTTATTCATTCTGAAGCACTCCATATCATTAAAAATATAAAAAATCATTAGACATTGAAAGTCGAGCTTGACTCAATTCATATTTTGAAAAAATAAGCCATGGTGAACTTGTTCATATTACACATATTATGTAGTACTAGAATTAAATTTTTATTTTTATTTTTTCCCCAGGTTTCTTAGACGTATCGCCCTACAGCTATGCCGAGAAACAAGATTTGCTACAAAGACTGGCCCTCTTACAAAGTACTTTATTGCAAGGCATCCCTGTCATCACCAGATTTTTGGCGCAGTTCTTACCTCTCTGGAATGAGAGAGATTATTTTACAGAGGTGATTAATATTTTTTACTACTCACCAAAATAATGATATTATTTTATTTTGAGTAATTTTATCATGTGGGCCTCGGTTATAATCTGTTGTGTTTAAACATATGTTTTATAAGTTTTTTTGCTTAATTTTGAATGTTTGGAAGTTATAAAATTAAAATGAAAACAATACAGTACTCTGAGTAATTTGAATATGTGATAGCTGATCATGACAATGTTGACAGATCTTGCAGCTAGTGGAGTGGGTGAGCGTGGACAGTCCGGATCACCTGGGCTACATAGTGGGTCCCCTCATTAAGATATATCATCGGGCTCAACCATTGGAACAATGCGCCATACTCAAGAGCCTTACACAGATGTACATTAATCTTGTAAGTATTTTGAGATAATGTTTTTGTTAATTTAAATGGGTGGGCAAGCTCACAATCTACTTGATATTAAGCAGTTACATAAGTCATAGACATATGCGAAATTCTCATGCCACTGGCGTCTGGTCTTATATAAAGGCTGCCCTTGCCTTACCAGAACCCGTGATTTGATCATGGAACAAGTTGACCTGGTAAGTTACCTGTCTGTTTTGGTTTACAAATGTGCCCTACCACTAGCAGATACCAGTGTACTGCTATCATATCCCGAGAATGTTGCCGCCTAGTCTTCAGCAAAGGTCGCCTATACGACACACGGAAATATATTTATTGGTGTAATTCTCTGATGATGGATACGAACGTGTGGACAAATAATTAAAATTCAGACCGTTTCAGGTATACGCCAGCACGCGGCGTCGGCAATACTTTATGGCGGCTGACACGCCGAAAGAGAATTACGGGGTCGTGTTGCCGAGGTTGGCGGCGGAGCTGGGGGAAATGGGCGAAAAAGCCCTGCAGTACAACCCGGGTATGTTCGGATACGTGCTACCAATTACACAGTACAAAAAGGGAGAAATGTGTTGTTTGAACTCAGAACTAAAAATAAAGGAACCACATTACTTCACATGCGGCCTGCGATGCATGTTTTAATTAGAAAATAATTTTGGATAATAGAATTCTTTGTCGAAACATACAATCAATATTTGGTATAATTTATCTTTACTCTTGTAACATTCCATTCTCATGACATCATTTAAAAGTGAAGCTATCATTTACTATTATTGGGGGAATTCCTGGAAAGTTTTTTTTTTTAATTTATTTTTCCGCGGCCCTCCAGCTTTCGTAGTAAATTTAATTAGCCGGCAAAGGTATGTAGCTTGGACAGTCTTGATATAGGTTATAGTAATGTGGTTGGCATATTTTTTACCACTTTAGTGCATTTTGTAGATAACCGTGAAGATTTAAAACGATTCGTAACCCAATGTACTTGATTAATGTACTCATTCTACACTTGAGACTTATGTACCCTTTAAAATCTGCTGGCATAGTTTGAATAGCAGAATATTTTCCTTGAACACCCTTTTTGTTTACAGTCACCTCAAAAATCGTTGCTGTATTTCTCAATTGAAATTCCTGTATCGAAAATAATAATAACAAGATATTTTCTACGTTGAACACAGATAAAATATTAGAATAAGGTTTATTTTGTTTTGATTGTGCTGTTATTATAATGTTTGAGATACAGATGTTCGCAAAGTAAATCGCCATTTTGTAAGAAGGTAATTATTTTTTGGTTATTGTTCACAGATGATATGAGAGTATTATTCAGCAACATATGGTCAGTTGAGTGTCGTTCGCGCGCTCACCTACTGTACAACATAGGGCTGGGACCAATACCAGGATTGTTGTCATTGTCATTGCCATTGTTAGGAGTTTCGGCGGCTTTAATCGAGAAGATGGCTGCCCTGTTGGTTATGTAAGTATGGTCGGTTTTCATAAAGTGGCTCGAAAAGGTACTGGCTCTGAGAAACTAGTCTGTGAAGCACATTTTCAAATATAGTTTGTTAAAAGACACATCGTTGTCGAACGAATACCTGCAAAAAAGGACTACAGTTTTCTTAACGAAAATTTCTTTGCGATACTAGTTTTGATAGTCAAGAGGAAATCGCCAAAAAGAGCACACGGCAGAGCCATTAATTTGGGAATGACGAACACAGCGCGCGGCAGAGCCATTGCGCTTCGTGCACCAGAGCAATCTTGGTGCTTTTAGGACCCCTAAGCACCGGTCACCGTCCTCGTCAAACTTTTCGATCACGACGAAGAGCTTGACAAGCGAAGTAACCCATAAACACCTACAGCCCATTGAATTTCTCACTGGATCTTCTGAGTGGGTCGCGTTTCCGATCCGGTAGTGGATTGTCTGGAACGGTGCTCTTGCTAGGGCTAGTGTTAGCAAATTCTCTCAGCTTGAGCCCACCAACCCGTCCGCGCGTAGTTAGAATAGCCTCATAGACTACCAGCAAATAATAGAAAAAATAAAGCAAGGCGCCGTATGTAAAGCTCAAATCAGTCTTGGCTGACGGGCTCGCGTTGGATGTGTTTAATGTCTGTGATATAATATATCCGTCCGATTTATATTGATTTATACACCGTTACAGATACAAAAAGATCTTCACTCGCCTCAAATCGACGAATGCGATCAGCGCGACTCACACGGAGCAGATACAGATACTGCACAGGTACTCGGTGGACCTCAGCTCGCTGTACACGGAGGAGTCGCTCAGGGGCCGCGGCAACGGCTTCGTGTTCGACAAACTACATCCCCAGCTCGTCTCGAAACTGTACCATCTGATCCCCGAGCCGGATACCAAGTTGAGCGTACGGAGTCACGTAGCCTTCGCTGCGTACACGTACGTCGCGCTGGGTGACGACGAGCGCGACGCCGACAACAAGGCGTGGTACCGCGCGTTTCTGGAACACGAATTCTCGTATTTGGCCAAGTTTTTCAAGAAAACCGTACCCGAGCTGAGAATGTGAGGGTGCGTAACGCGCGCACGCACTGCGGGCGCGGACCTGACGTGCACGTTCTAATTTTAGTTCTTCTGAAAATGTAATTTGCTATTGTTATTGACATTCTATAATGTATTAAAACTTATATTGTCTGTTCGTTGTCGTAAGCAACAAATGAATGAACTGAGTTTTCGAGAATGTGGTGCGTGGGAAAGAGACAGCAATAGTTTGAACTCGCATGCTTGTATCTTGTGTTTGTTAGTTTCTGTGTAGTCCTTCACGAATTTTTTTTTTAACAGAACCGCCTGTACCTCAGTTCATTGAGTACCAGAATGCTCGTTTGTAAAATATTTATAATGTAGTTTTTTGTTTAGATAAGGTTTTGTAAAATAAGTTTCTTGTGACAACAGTTGAAATTATGATTAATATCCTTTATGTATTTTTTTTAATTAATAAACATAAACCACCGACATGTCATTGTGTTTTATTTTAACAGTCCTAAAAGCTTTTGTTTTATCGAATTTTGAAAAGATTTTGTGGGATGATTCTCTGGTAGCCAACTTATAAAAATGACCTCGCAAATATCGTTGTCCACCTTGATGTATGAGGTCCTGGTTCCAATTGCATTGAATTTAACTCAGCGCTGCACGAAGGAGCTCCTTCGATTTGCAGCGGAAACAAGCGGTTAGCGGCTTTAATCCGTACAAGCGAACGAGACAGTGCTCCCAAGAACCAACACAATAAAGTATCAAAATATATTTTTAATTCTTTACTGGATAAACGTGTGTCAAGCTCATGGTTAATACGTAATGTAACGTAAGCCTTGAGACGAGAGATCAGTCTCAATTGAATTGAACTACGGCCGTCCCACACTTCAAATCAGAACGTATAGCTACTTCGCGGCTGAAATATGATGGCGATACCTACTCGTGCGGACTTACAGCCTACTAATAATCTTATATGAATTAAAATGCTACAAACGCCTACATTTGCTGACTGATGTTACATAAGAATCTGAAAGGAGTCTTTCTCGGTGGCTTGCTACTCTGTGGGTTGCTGCTTGGCCAAAGTGGCTTGTTTTCAATGAAAAATAAAGTACCTATACATGGTAAGAGTCTACGATACTATTTGGGTATTATTGGGATTAAAAATTGTGATAAACAACGAAATTCTAGAAATTCTAAACGATTATACGTCAGTAATCAGTAATGAAGACCTGTTCATATTCATTGTGTATAGAAATGTATTAATAAGTATTTGTGTTGCAAAAAGAGCAAGCAGTCCTTGAGTTTCTTCCCGATTGTTGAGTTTTTTTTAATATCCGCGAAAGTAAACCGTATGAAACTGATGGCAGGACATCTTGTGACTCCGCGCGGGTAGTTACCACCTCCCTGCCTATTTCTGCCGTGAAATGTTTACATTTAAGTCGTAGTTGTCTATGGGCTCCGGTAACCACTTAACACCAGGTTTTTAATATCGGCGAAAGTAAACCGTATGAAACTGATGGCAGGACATCTTGTGACTCCGCGCGGGTAGGTACCACCTCCCTGCCTATTTCTGCCGTGAAATGTTTATATTTAAGTCGTAGTTGTCTATGGGCTCCGGTAACCACTTAACACCAGGTGGGCCATGAGCACGTTCACCCATACAAGCAATAAAAAAAATTAAAGTTATCTTTACGAAAGATATCGGTATCCTAACGTTTTCTAAAGGGATAGTTAAAGCATACTTAACACCTAAAGCAGGTACTGAAATAAATTGAAATTCCTGAAAATAATATTATTTTAAAGCTCGAGTTCAAAAGTGTGCTGTTAATTTATTTACATCTCGTTCCGAGACGAATGTGATCGATCAACCAATGATCAAAATAGCATAGACGAAGTATTTATTGAATGCACCATTTGGCTAATGAAATGCTTACATTTTATAATTACCAAATTTTACGGTACAAGTATTCGATGTGTGTGTTTCAAAGTTATTTTAAAAACGTATCCACGAAGAACAATCGGAGATTGTATTTATATGCTTTTATATCAACCCATATTCTTTTCTTATGCTTATGCCCATAAGTTCGTCCCCATTCTAAGTAGAGGACGACTGTTGAATAAAAGATGAATTTCACAAATAGTTAAGTGCTTCTAAAAAGAACTCTTATGTTTTCTGTATTCTCGGAGTTCGTACAATTACGTGGAAACACTTTCTCTCACAGGCACCCAGCTTACTTTTCCATTTTCTCTTGTTACTGGTGCTCATTTATTTTTCGTGGTCCGCTCGAAGCATAAATTATGGACACCGTGGCCCTAGACGGGTTCGGAGCGGGGTGTCACGCGCGGGGTGGTCCCTCCCCACGACCACTCGCCCTCCGCTTCAATGAGAAATGTTTCAGAGCCTTTTGTCCCCTCGTGTCGCTTTTTGCGAGCGACATCTTCAAGGATACTGTGTTAATCGGACCCTGCGATACTTTTTGTGAATTCCGCCTACGGAAGTCGACTGGAAAAACTGATTTTTTCCTCTGTATTCGTTGGGCATCCTTTGTCTTTGATTGTTGTTTGCCGGGAATTGCCTATATTAGATTTCCTTTTTATTTATTTCTTTTTGTGTGTGTTTTATTTCGTCTGTCAAAGAAATAAGATAGTATTCTTAATTGCGAAACTTAAAGTTTATTGTTTTGGTGGCAGTTTTATTTTTGTAGTAATTTTATAGCCACAAAAGAAAAAATATAGGAATAATACCTATAGAATTTTGTAACGGCACCGTGTATAATTCTTCAATTTATTATACATATTATTCAGATTCAAGTAACACTCCAAGCAAAATTTAATGAATGTCAGTAATTGGCCGATTGATTCTAATCAGTAATCGATCATTTCATCGCTTCACAAGCCCTGTTCCCATCCTCGGGGTTAAGATACGAAAGGTGACTCTGTCGACTTTGAGAAATTTCTGCTTACTCTGTTCTCGCTCCGAAGATATTGATCGAGGTGTCTCGGTTACACAATATACATAATGTCAACAACGCATATAAAAATGTGCTCTAACATATGCCGACTATAGTAGTTCACGATGTGTGTTTTTTTATAAGAGTTCGATGTCAAAAGTTATTGTGGTATTTTGAAGCATCCGTAATGTATTTATTAGGTAAGATGTGGTCGCACGTATTAATGGATGCGACCTATATATACTTGAGCTAAAATCCTGTGAGCAAGTAAAAATGTTACGAAATAAAGACGTGTGCGAATTCACAAATGATGATGGATGGATGGAACTATGATGGTGGAAATCACATCTATAAACTTTATTCATTCACGTATATATTGACATCTCGGTAGGGTGTATTGTAAGTCCTAATTGGTAGATACCGCTATTTTACCGCTAACAATTGACAATAAATGACCTATTTGACAATATGCGTTCTCTACTAGTTAATCAAAAGCACTGAAGTATGAAACCTAATCAAAAGCGATGTAGAGAAAGTCATGAAATGACACATTTGATAAGTATGTTTAACACTAACATATAAGTAAAAAAAAATCGACCGACGACCTGCTAAAACTCGCGGGAGACCGCCAGATGCAGGTTGCGCAAGACAGGTCATTGTGGTGAACTTTGAGGGAGGCCTGTTTCCAGCAGTGGACGAGCGTGGGCTGAAATATATATACCTACATAGTATTACGCGCTGGGGTTCGGGATAAATAAAAATTCTACCGAAGTACAAATTGAAGCTGTATTAACGCTTAGAACACTCACAGAACACTTTAAATTTCTCAATTCACTTCGTCCGCTTCGCTTCAGGTGATCTTTTCGCTGTTTCGCTTCGAGTAGTTCCGATTACTAACTGACTGCGTGCCATCTTTGCAATGCTTTTTAGTCGATACGACATCCCTAATTATCGAGAACATTCCTCAGAAGTCGAGTATTTTCGATGTGTGTTTCCGCTATCTGACAATAGATGGCGTTTTACTTCTCGAGCTTTCTAGATGTTACTAGATCCTTTGATATTCATTTGGGCTATTCGGCGATAGATGGCGTTATTCTTACCGGCGTAACAATAGTGATAATAGGCCTTAGGTCTGAAAGTAGCAGCTTTGACAGAGAAGTTGACAAGTGCGCGTTTGGGATGGTATGGATCTCTGATGTATCAATCAAAACCATTACCCAGCCAAGAAGTTGTTCAAACTTTGAAAAAGTAGAAGTCTTATAATATATGAGGTCGAGCGTTGTCGCGTCGCAGCAGTGGGGACGAGCTATTAATCAATGTTGGTCGGAGATACTGGAATTTTACCATCAGTTTGATTTTTTACATCAAAATTACCATGTGAGAAGCGTTGAAACCAATATCGAGTCTTAAGTTCGTTTGTACTACTATTCACTTCGTACACGTCATTAATGTTGTTCGGGATTGCTACCGCGACGGCACTCGTGTTCCTCCATAGTGACTTGTTTTTGTTTATCGTGCCCGCATTGATGAAATATATACAAATCTAGTGAAAACAATACACACAAATCGATAAACAAATGATTGAATTTCAAAATATACTTCCATATAATTTAATTTACTTATAATTTAGAATTTATTTCCCGTCATATAGTTTTAATAAAAATTACGTTTCAAATCGGCAGTATTGTAAAACGGCAACTTTATAAGTCATCATAAAGATCTATAATTATAAACATATTTAATGCCTTATATAAGTAACTGCTAATATCGAAAATTTAAAGTCTGGTAAATGAAAAGCAAAAAAGGATTGTAAAAAATGATTAATTATTTCAATAAGAATATGTAGTTTATAGAAATGGATAAATATATTTATTTTAAAATATCACACATCAATATGTGTAGCTGCAAAATAATACGTAAAATCTTTTTAACTTTACCACGTTTGCCGACTGCAAGCTTCCTAATGCCTGCAAAGTTTCCCTAACGACCGCGTTTCTAATTAGGAACTCGTGTTTTAATTTAAGCTCGTCGTTTCCTCGAAAAAAATTGCGGCAGACGTAAGCGAAAACACGTAGGTATATTTTTCTTTTAATCTGATCTCCTTGCCCGGGGCGTCGCTCACGTATGCGCTCGAGATTCGTATGCGCGGAGTTTAATGACGTACAATAAGCTGCTTTACAACGAAAATTTTATCCTTTCATTCCGGAAAATTATGTTATCCTTTCGGCTATTTAAATTATTCCTGTAAACTGTGTGTAATTATGTGTATGTATGTATTTTATTATTTTATACATAGGTATATTAAAATGTAGTATGTTTATTTATGCATACAAAGTCATATGTAATCTATATAAGTACCTATATTTAACATTATATGTATTCTATAATACTGAGATGTTACTTTAAGGAAGATTTTTGTTTTGATTTTGTTCTTTTTTTGTTGTTGTTGTTGTTGTTTGTTATTCTTTTGTTAATGCACCTACCATGCATTATCTCTGCACCACCCTATGGTCCACTGGAAGAGA